GGGGCCTTCGGGAGCTAAGGAGACAGGGGGCCTTCGGGAGCTAAGGAGACGGGGGGCCTTCGGGAGCTAAGGAGACGGGGAGCCTTCGAGAGCTCCGGGGGCCTCCAGTGAGGAAGCGCGAGGCTGTGATGGGTGAAAAGGAGCAGTGGGAGGCGCTTGAGGACGATGTGGAGGAGGTTTATGTCTGTGTTGGGGCTCAGATAGAAGCAGCCTGCTCCCACTTGGGCTAGAGCAGCCTCAGGACAGAGCTGAGGATATTGGCCACCTTGAGGGTGTGGGTGGAGGTGGGTGTAATTGTAATTGTAGGTGTGGTTGTGGTGTGTCGGCCTGACTTGCTGCCTCCCTGTGAACACGTGTATCTGGGTCAGGCCACAGCACACAGGAGTTCACCTCCCCAGCCCCCCGGCTCCTGGAGCAAAACTTGTCCACGTGTCCATGTCTCAGTCTTCTGTGTGTTCACGTCAGATCCCCACGTCCGCACACTCCAGCGTCTGTGTGTGTTTGTCGGATAGCTACCTTCTCTCAGTGTCCACAGTCTTAGCTCAAGCCAGGCGAGTGGACGCCTCTCTGTACCCCCAGTCTTCTGCACTTCTGACGACCCCACCTTGGAAGCCATCCCCGCCCCCCGGCAGGCCTCCCATCTACTCCCAGTGCCCCTCACCACCCCCACTGTGCCATCCACCCCAATCTGCCAGGCGCAGTCCCGCCCTCATGAACAGGCCCTCCTGGGGCTTGGCCCTCTGCTGGAGAAATGCAGGTCTGACTTATATTGGAGGGCAGTACCCCTGTCCTTTGCCCACTTTGGGGTCACTGCAGCTTGGGATGCATGCTTAGAAACGGTATTGATCTTGGGAAGCTGTGGCACCGGGGTTAGTGTCCAAAGCTCAGGTGGCTCCGTCCCCTCTCTGAGCCTCAGTTTCCTCACCAAAGCTGCTTTACGTGATGCCTGATGCATCCTAAGAGCGCAGTGAACAGAAACCTTCATTGGTGACAACAGAGCAAGTGATGAGCCTGTCCCCACGGGGACACAGGACTGAGGAACCACGCAGTAACGTGCCTGTTCTCTTTTCTTGTCCCTCTTGTTAACGTTCAGAAACCTTTGGTAAGTCTGATTTCTTGAACATGTCGACGACTAACGTCCCTGTTTCCCCCTCCCCCGTCCTCTCCCTCTGCCCCCTCACCCGCCAACTAACAGCCACCGTGACAGTAACTGTGACCCGTTCCACGTGGCATGTTCACTAACACCTTCCCCTCACTCGTCACCCAGCCCTCCCTCTTGGGCCACCAGTGGGCAGCAAACCAGAGCCCCGAAGGAAAAGAGGAAGCATGGCAGGGCCAGGAAGGGGCTGGCCAGACCCTGAGGTGGAGCATCTGGGGCCTGACCATGGGACAGCGTTTAATGGCAGAAATTTGGGCTGAGTCTGGGGTTAGAGATTGTCCAGCTGAGATCCTAGGCACTTTGTGGACCCTCCTTCCCAACATCCAGCCCAAGTCCCCTGAAACCTATGGAAACCTGTGTTGGGCTAATTCTTACTAAAGTGAGAATGACTGATAATGACCCACCGTCACCATTCCTTTCACTTAGCTTAGTCCCCACGGTTAGCTAGGTCTTTGGCTCCTCGTTTTCAGCATTGTCAAGGGTTTAGGGACACAGGCCACAGTAGGAGCAGAGCTGGAGTCTGGTTTCTCACCTTGTGACGGTAAACAAAGTCCTGTCCCCCTACCATTCTGTCTAGAGAGGGCCCTCTGGCTTGAGAATTTCAAGAACCATAAATAGAGCAAACAAAGTTCAGTCTAAAAGGTCCCCATCCTGGGAGGCCGAAGAGTTGAGCTCAAACCCCACCCCAGTCTGTGGCTCACTCTGTATCCTCAGACAATTCCTTGGTGCCTCTGTGTCTCAGTTTACCCGTCTGTAAAACGGGGCAGGGCGACATCACCAGGCAGAGGCCTGTTCTCTTGGCTGAGTTACTAGTGCAGAGGAGGGGTCCCAGACCGCCTCTCTCTGGAAGGCGAGCTGAGGTGACTCTAGCCTCACACGCCCTCCAGCTGTCCCGGCCCCTATAGTCCAGATGGACAGCCAGCCAGCCTTTTCCTCTTTTCCTTCTGGAAGAACCTTCTGGAATTTAGAGGGCTCTGCTGTGACCCTCATGCCCACCCTCTCTGCCCCCTACCAGGCCTGTATGTAACCCCTTTTGTTATGCTTTGTTAAGCCCTGGGCCACTAACACCCCCACCCCGTCTCTAACAAGGCCTGTTGTTTGATACCCCCACTGCTGCCTTGGAAGCAGCCCCTCGCTGGACCCCCAAGAAAGAGAGAAGGAAGGAAGTCATAAGCCTTCTTCCCTCAGGCCCGGGGGACAAGCAGCACTGGGCCAGGCCAGGCCTACTGGGCTTCCCAGGGCACAGTAGCTTCTAAACTCGGCCGCCCCAACTCCTGGTCCCCACCTCCTGGGGAAGTCCTATTGCTTGGCAAGTCCCATCTTCCAGGAGCCTCACCTTGACTTGGTGGCCAGGCCTTCAGGGTCCGCAGGCCCAGGGCAGGCTCAGCCCCGGGGGCAGGGGCCTGGCCTGCGGCCCTCCCAGCACTGCCATCCGATTTTCACCTGACTCTCTCTTGCTTCCCTTACAGAAAGCACTCCGATCAGAGGTAAGAGGCGCGCTCCTCGCTCACCCGTCCACTTATGCTCTCTGGCTGCCCGCGCGGCCCCCAGGCCCCCAGGGCCCGTGCCAGCCTCGCCCCCTCCCCATGGCCCCCTTCCACCTTCCTGCCCGGTGTCTGTCCAGTCTCTGTGTCTGTGTTGCTCTCCGTGGATGGGGGTGCTGAACGTGGCGGGGTGACTCCTTGGGCTGCCTGGCTGTGGGAAGAGGACTGACCCTGCTCTGAGAAGGGGCAGCGTCTCCCGTGCCCACCCAGAGTCCGTGGAGCCAGGTTTCTAGGTGAAGCACTTGCTGTTTCCAGCCTCTTGATTTTCCATCTATAAAATGGGAGGGTAAGAGTGGGGATACAGCATGGGGGCTTCTGGGTCTTTCTGATCTCCTGGTCAGGGACACTCCAAGGCCAGCTCTGACTGTGGTCCTGGGGTTGCCCTGGACAGGAAACTAGAATAGGCCTGGGTTCGGCAGGACCCAGTTATCTAGCCCTGAAAATAAATAGCATGAAATACTGTGTGTCCTAGGGCAGGCCTCCTGCCTCTACAGGCCTCCATACTGGTGCATTCCCTCTTCAGCCTTGAGGTCAGGCGCCGTAGGGAGTGTGCCAGGGGCCAGAGGGAAGTCCCTGTGCTTGGGTTGTCATTCACTCCATGGACCTGTCCCCCCTCGGTGCCATGCTGGGAAGGAGGGGTCTTTGGGAGAGCTGGGATCAGGGGGCTCCTGGCATCCAGGTGACAGTCTCTCTCTCGTGAACCCCATGGACTGCTGTCCAGGCCTGGGGAACAGACATACATGCAGATGTTCACTCCGGCTCCCCAGCTCACAGACCAGCAGTTGTACTGGGGCCATGCTTTCACCAGTGCACATGGGGGTCCTGCTGCCTGTTCTTCTGAGGGGCCTGGGGCTCTGCTCACAGGGCCCTGAACTCACAGGTGCAGGCATGAGAACTCGTTCCAGGCTGACGGTTCCAAATGGCCCTGGGGAGACCATGGCCTCGTTTTCATTTACTCACCAAGAGGTTTTACCAAAGCCTTGATTTCAAGTAATCCTCTATTTCCAGTAATTCCCTCATTTCTGTCGAGTCTGTGATGCGGGCCTGTGATAGCTGCCTTCCTGGGGAGCAGACCCCCGTCCATTACTCGTGTGCACTGGCTCTTCAGTTCAGCCCTGGGCTTCTAACTCTGAAGAGCCTCATGGCCCCACCTTTTCCCACTCGTGACAAATTCACATGCCCTGAGACACTTGAATGGACTCGTGTCTTAGGGATTTCCATTCAGACTTGAGATTCCAAATGCTCTGGAAAATCTGATCTCGTCTCCATTCCCCTAAGCACCATGGACATGGTTCCGGGGCAGCAGTTTTATGCTCCTGGGAGCACCCACCTCACTCCTTCTGGGTGCCAAGGCCTAGACTCCAGGGTTTCAAGGAGGCACGTGAATTCAGACATCCTTAGTGCCTCAGATGAGTTCAGATACAAGCGGCAATTCAGACTCCGTCAGTCCCAGGCACAGAAGGCTCTGCGGCAGGCATTTGACTTCAGACCCACTGGGCTGGGTTTTGCGTGTCAGGCATCCTTCCCTTTAGTTGGGGTGTAAGGAGCCCTGGCGGGGAAGTGGGCTCAGTTGGACAGCACAGGTCAGCAGTGCAAGCCCAGCAGCCGTCTGAGGGGAAAGGCCGACTCCTCCCATTCAGGAGTACAGCCTCGAGACGTGGCCTGGGGTTGGAATCACTTCGAAGCACTGAATTGTTTGTTTTTGTGTTTTTAAATCTTGGGTAGCAACCCAGCCTCAAAATTCCAGGCACCCTGGAAGAAGTTTGGCCCTGACCCGGGCACAGGGAGCTCCAGACTTCACTTGAGGAGTTGTGGGCCCAGGTTGACCCCAGCCAGGCACCTCTCTACTCCTTCATTTTTTCCCCACGCACTGCTGCTGGGGGCACCTCTGTCCCTGAGTTACTCAGATAGCTTTGTGCCAACCCACTCAGTGCCTCGCATTACCTGGGCACACTTGCCAGCACCTGGGGCACAGTTCCCCCACTCTGGAGGTCACTGCCACATGACCACTTGTCTTTCTAGTGAGGGGTGGAGGTTCAGCCTTGGGACTCCCGGATGGTGGGGCAAGTTGGGAGCTAGGCCTGGGGTAGGGGACTGGACAAGCCAGGGATCCCCTGCCCAGCTGGGACACCTCAGCTAACACTCTTTTCCTCTGCCTCTCGGCCTGGCCTGAACAGGAGATGGGACAGGACGGACGCTGGGGGCAGCCTCCCCCCCATCCTGCCATGGCCCTGGAGCCCCCCTGATGGTCAGGCTTTCTCCCCTCCCCCCACAGGAGCCCTGCAGATCGAGAGCAGCGAGGAGACTGACCAGGGCAAGTACGAGTGCGTGGCCACCAACAGCGCCGGCGTGCGCTACTCCTCACCTGCCAACCTCTACGTGAGAGGTAGGGACCGACACAGCCAGGTGGACGGCAGGGACCCGCCCGTCCTGTTCCCCCTTCGGGCTCACAGCCTCTGGGCTCCCCCACCCCCTGAAGACCCAAGAGGAAGACCCCATGCTGGTCGGTCACGGGCAGCTGCCCTCTCTGGACCTCAGTCTCCCTGCCTGTATAATGGGGGCAGTCAGAACACCCCACACCCTACAGTAGACACCCCATGGGCAGCGGGTCCTGGGGAGGCAGTGACGGCAGGCCAGGAGGGGGCGGGACTGGGTGTGGGGGGGGTCAGTCTTGGGCCTACAGGGCCGGGGGAGCCTGCAGGCCTCGGGTCCCCCTCCCCGCCCGCTGAGTCGGCTTCTGTGGTGTGTCGTGACTCCTCTGTCGTCTGCTGGCTTTGCTGCTCCCAATTCCGTGCCCTGTAGCTCCCCGCTTCACCGCCCCCTCGAGTCCTCTCCAGCCATGCGTTGGATGGGGGGTCTTAGAAGCCGGCCCCCACCCCTTCGGCTGCCCCCGGAGCCTGGCGCTGTCTCACCTGATGTCCCTTAGGGAAGGACGGTTAGGCCCGGTGACATGGGCTGGGGTCTCGGTGGTGGCGGCAAGCCGCGTGCTCAGCCCACTCGGCCGTGCCCAGGAGCCGGGCTCCTTGCCCCAGCGTGCTCCCCGTAACGAGGAAGTCTGGGGAACTTCCTTCTGGATTACCTGGGTGGCATCAGGGGTCCCCCTTATGCCATTAACTCCCCTCTCGCCCCTGGTTTGCTCTCTCTGATTCTCTCTGATGTATGAAGGCGTCTCTTCCACCTCGTTTGTCCCTATCCCTCTTTCCAGCAACTGTTTCTGGTCCACCAGTGGTAGAAACAGCTGCCCGGGACCCGTTTCACGTCCCAGCTCAGCCCCCTTTGGTTCCAAGAACTGAACCTCCCCCCTGCCACCCAACCTGCTTCCCCCTTGGATACACCCTCCATAATCAGTCACCCCCTCCCCAGGAAGCCAGGCCGGCACCTCCTCTCCTCTCCCACTCAGTCCCCACTGATTCGGAGCACCTCAGTGGTTCTGGACCTCGGCTTCGCGCCTGACCTCTGAGGAGGAGGAGGAGGAGGCCACAGGGGGTGGGCGACGTGGGGTGGGTGGAGGGCGCGTCGGGCCGCAGCCCCTCTGGTGAGTCCCTGTGCTCCTTCTCTCACTGACCGGCCTCCACTTAACCTCATTATTTCTCCGCAAACACTGGAGGGGCTTGTGAGTCCATCAGGGATGAGGAGTGA